AAATCATCCCTAAAACTTAACAATAGTGCGAACTCCAAAATTGTTTTAAGATTGGATACACCGCACATGCCTCTTGTCTTGCAATTGCACAGAACATTTTATGCGCCATACACTGCTCTCTCTCCTCCTTGTGACTCTCGACGGTCAGGATTCATTAATGGAATCATGTCTCGGCAAATTACCCCCTATAATTTAGACCCTGATTAGACAAGTCACAATTGACTTTTTTCTTCTATGATTCTAAACTTGTCTTGTTGCATTTGTTCGAGGAAGGTCTAATGCGTGAAATGTCAGCTTTATTCAACTTGCTTGCGTGGTTTATTTAACACTGTTATATCTCTCAGTCATTGCCTGTGCTATGACTGGTCAATTTAGCGGGCTGTATTTCTTTGTACGGCCGGCTGCATTCAAAAATTTGTTTGAATTTAAATATTTCCCCTAGATTTGAACCCAGAGATCGATTTAATAGATATCTTATTTACCTCGTATTCTCGGACCTCTTACTCGATCAGTCAGAGGTATTTATCAACCTCTATGTCGAGATAATTTATATGCAACTCGGCGTTTTACTGGTCCGCCGACGCAGCACAAAAGTTTATTATAAACTATTTCAGTCCCAAACCCCATGTAGCGCACTTCGCCGCTCGTTTTAAGGGATACGCTGCATAACGCTTCAAAGCGAGCACAAAGCCGCTAGTTTCGCTGGTTGGGAAAAACAATATCTCTACCTTGCAGTAGATAGGTCTAGGTTGGCTAAACAATTATAGCCATCCATGACAGTGACAAGGTTGCTAAGTCAACTAAAAAGATTCAAAACAAATTGTTGCACAATGAGGTTTTATCAGTTTAAAATCGAACCTCCTTCAAATCTTCAACTCTTTCAAATCAGGAAAATTCGGGGTTTCTTTGGTAACATTCTCGGAAAAGAGCCAGAGAACGAAAAACTGCGTAAACCTGAAATGTAATTTTATTGGTGACCTTGCATTTCCTGCCGAAACTTCTAGTAGTGCTCCCTAAGGCGAGGCAAGCATTTTTCTTTCTTTTCTGAATTACTCCTTTGTTTGTCGCCGGAATTTTTTTAGCAAACAAATTCAAACTCGAGTCGATCAGGCAGTTAGACTTGAACTCACGTTTATGGAATAATGAACGTGTCAGCGAGAGATGGGTGACAAAAAAAGCCTTTCAAAAGATCTCTGAATTTCTTCATGACACGAAAATAATTAAATGCGGAAGTCGCTTATTAGGAAAACAATAAGGTACCAACTTGAAAGTGATTAAGACTGACAAAGTATTTTAAGTTCAATTCTAGCGAAATAATTACTTTCGATTTGCAACTAGAGAAGTATTCATATTTGTAAGGCAATTTTAATACAAGGAACGCGAAAGCGCGATCGCTCGATCGATCGCTTTCTGTAATGTTGTCATTTCTGCGTTTAAATATCATTTAATTTGACAAAGAGAATCGAGAATTTAAAAGCGGTTCAAGTACAATAAAAACAAAAGGTTCGTCAGGCCTTTGTTTTCCGACACGCCCCCTGTGGATGTCGGTCTTTCTAACCAGTTCCTTTATTCTTTTATCCTTTTTTGAACGGTGTTTACGTACCACAAATGAAATCTTTTTCTTGAAGGTCCACCCACAGCATATTTATGCTAAGTTTCTTTATTTGGAGGTGCTTAACCTAATGGACTGCAACCAAACAAGAAAAGACTGAAGATTAGGTTTTCAATTCGCTTATTGACTCTATAGAACGTATGCAAATATGGTACCTGTAAACCAGCTTCACGAGAGCAGAAAACAGTGTACAAATTCATGTACATTCTTGTGATTACGTTGAAAATGGTTTTAAGTTTTATATACTGTGCTGCCTTATGTCTCATCCAATCGCGGAACGAAGCCAAATCAGCATCGTTGTTTATGCCATGTTGAGTTTACGTATGCCAGTTGGATACCAAGGTCCTCATGACATATTTCACCTCCGTATGTAGACCTTTGCCACTGATTATAGCCCAAAGCGGTGAAAGAACGCAGTGAAATATTAGTGCGTTTCACTGCAACTGTAAGCCTTTACGGAAAGGCAACATAGACTGCTAAACTGTTTTAAAGCATGAAACGATATGAAGTATTTCGCAGCAGAGACCCTCAAGTGTCATTTTGGCTTCAAAAAAATGGTTTTCAAAATCAGCGATCGGCGAACAAGGACGAAGAAACGAGAGGTAAAGAACCACGGAAACGCATAGAGAAAATGAAAAAGGCTACACGGACTAAAGAAGTAAGATTTGAATCTATGCAGGTTACAATCAGGCCGAACAGCGACGGGAAAATTTTGGGATTGAGAAGCAATAAGATGGAAACCGGTAGACTGGACAAAGAGCGCTTGAAAAAGAAAGACAAGGCTCTGGCGACTATGCCATCTCAAGACTTAACAGAACGTGATAGTTATGAAATGAATGAACCCACAAAAAACTCATACAGGCTTGGAAATGGGATCAGAAGTTTTTCAAGCCCTCTAAAGGTGGGGAAATTAGATGAACAAGTAACCGGTAAAGCCGGTCTGCACAGTATTACACGAAGAAATTCTCTACTCTCCTTGTCTTCTGAAAGACCGTCTTACATCCCAGTGCTAATTCGCAATAATAACACACGGCTTCGAAAGTACAGTTTCTCTGAAAATTGCACGACAACAAATACACAACAAACAGGTAAGAGAGAAGTTCGAGCAACAGAGAGAGACAACCCCAGCGAAGAGGCCATGTTTAAATCGAACAACACTAAATTGGAATTAGGGAATGTGTCGTTACAACAGACAACGCATATTATCAATCCACCAAGAGTTACTAAGGGAAAATCAATTTTACACGTCGAGGCAATTCGCGGAGCAAATAAATACAATGAGAAACGAACAGATGACCAGTTGAGAAAAGAAATTAAAACTTGTTCAAACCCTCAGAGAACTACTGATATTAATGGAAATCATATTTCTATAAATCAGAGACGAACAATAACTGATTCATATTCAGACGGCAGTGATGAGGATATCGGTTTTAAACTTAACGAGGAAGACTCTCTACAGAGCTACAGTTTTGAAATGCAACAAAAGGCAGTGACGCATAATTATCCATCGAGTATGTACAGTGCAAGAGGAAACCTACTATCGTGGCTTGGAGAGGTAAACAAAAACAACCCTCAGCTTTGGAGTTAGTTGTCATGTAAATCCTAGTATGATTTTTATTGTAAATATTAAAAAAAGTGGTTATTCAAGACAAGTTTGCTTGATTTGCATGGACTCGAAGTTGATCTATCAAATAACTCTCTCGTGGCAAATGTCGACTCAGAGTGAAAACTGTTTTAAAGCACATTTTGGGCTGTTATGCTAATGAAGTGTCAAAAACTCATTAAAAAGTGCTTTTTCAACAAAGTCATAGATTAAAAATTGCTTTTACACCCTGATTGCTTTTTAATGTTGAAATTTTTAAACAATTTTGAGAGATCGACTTTCCAGCATTAAAAGTCGAGCCTCCTGTAATCAGAACTCCCTTACCTGTATATCATTAATTTCATCTACTCGACAGTGACAAAAAGAAATTGTTCGCTTCAGAGTTTTTTAAATAATCAGACTTCGTCTTTACAGGGTCAATTTCGAGTAACAATTACCATCTTCTCTTTGTGTGCCTTCTGGATAAGTAAAAAAAAAAAAAAGACAGGGAAAGAAAAATAGCTTTTTAAACTAAACTGAAGCCCTTCAGCGGAGTCAGTTTTGTTGATCCCACTCGATTTAATTTAAAGCAGATTTCTTAGCAAAAGTAGCGTGGCGTAATTTGGTTGTCATTACTTTTTCTTTCGTTGTAGTTCACTTTTGCTGTAGTTTACTGCAATGAATTTGTAATTGCTACCAAATTACGCCGAGTTGGTTTTGCCACGCAAACTTCCATAGGCCGAAATAAGGCCGAGAAGTATTTTATATTTGCACAAGAGTTGTTGATGATTTTTTACCCGCATCCTCTCGACATATCTACACACATCTCACTTTTCTTTACCCTTTAGCTCCTGAAAGTGATCTGACCAATACAGAATTTCTCCTTACAATATCAATACAATATCAAGCAAACAGAGAATGAGAATAAGGAGAAATATCAATCAAGGGAATATTAGTTGATCCAATACCAAGTTCTCTCAAATAACTTCGTAAGAATTGTGTGGTAGACAGTATGGAGAATTACTAATGAGATCTTCGGAGTGAAAGGGTTGAGCTTGGAATTTCCAAGTCAGTGAATGAGATGCAGAACAAGCTACTGTTTTTTCGTAAGTTAGTGGAAGGGGTCACGCGTGAGACACGCGAGGGAATATTGAAGGAGCGCGAAAGTTCTAAGAGTCTTAATGTCATTTAACTGCCGGGCAATCACCTGTTTCCTGCGCCCCCGCGTTTTCCCCGCGCTCACTTTACAATTACGTCTGCACTACTGAAAAGGAGAAAAGAAAACAACTCACGCCTGTCCGCAAACTGTTACTGATATGAATCACACTAAGCGTGGAGGTATGCTGTTGTAAGAGCATGGAAACAAAATTTTTAGTCTGAGTCTCGTTTATTCAATTTCCTCGTTCCGGTTTTCCCTTATCAGTGCCAGACCTCTTTCAGACCAGGCCAGTATAAATGAAAGTATGCGATCATTATCAAGATAGAATCGCGCTTCCTGTTCTCTTTTCTGAGTGCAAAAAAATTTTGCAATGAAGTTCAAAACCAACTTGAAGGCGTCACATTGATCCTTCCCGCAGGAGGTGGGCATCGTTTCCTTTGTGTTTTGCAATGAAGCGCACTTAGCGCTTGCCTTGCTCTTCCTTCCGCTTTATTGGAGTGAAAGATAAAAGAAGAATGCGCTATATTTTTACTCAAGTGCTGTAGGCTTTCACTCCTGGACAAGAGGGCTACCCTCTAGAGCCCTCTCACCCCCTCCTTGAGAATTCGCAGGTCACACCAAAGGAAAAAATATCACTGCACGGCTACGACCATTTTAAGGACTCTTGTCCAAATTTTATTTGCTAGGCAGACTCACATCAGATGACTGAACACCAGCCAGCTACTGTAGGCCGGCTAACAGTTTCACCTTAAAATATCACTTATCACAATGACCGCTTTTTGAAGGCTTAATTTTTTTGTACAAGCATGAGAAATTTAGTATTAAATTTCGTTTTTTTGTCCTTTGTATCCGGTGTGCAGGGCATTCAAAAGCCGAAGCGATTACAACCAAAACTGTAATCTGCGGAGTTAAAATTCTTTGCACCCTCTGAAATAAGAATAATTTTGCATTCTGTTTACAACAACAGTACTGTAAAAGTTTGCTTCCGTTATAATTATCAAACGATTGATTTTCTTTTCGGTAAGGGAAATGGAAGAAATACTATGTATAATATTTTAGGGACTGAGGTTTAAAAGTAATAAATCTTTTGTGCGCTGAGGAAAAGGGAAAGATTAGAAAGGAAGGTAGGTAGAGAGAATGAAAGAAAGAAAGGGAAAGTTAGTGAGGTTTGGGAGAAGATCTGCGGATTAGTCCCCTCTTTCTTCTTCATCTTCCTCCTCCTCCTCCTCTTCTTCTTCTTCTTCTTCATCTTCTTCATCGTCATCCATTTTCTTCACAAAATCATCTGATAAAAAAGAGATAACAACTGATAAGGTCTAACGTAAAGCAATGTTCAATCACGAGTCAAAAAGGATCCATCTGCATTAGATGTTTTGGCTTTTCTTTGCTCAAGAAAACTTGCGCCACTGTTCTCAACCAATCCATTACGAAACCGGAATCAACTTCGACCTCGCTTTGCAGTTAATTGTTTCTCCTTTTGATTTCGATTGGGTCCTAGTGGATCCTCTGTTCTTACTTACTCTTGTTTGCAAATTTGGTTTGGACTGAAATATACAATAATCGGAACAAAGACAACATTTACCAGGAAAGAAGTTCAAATCCCACAGGAATAGCTAGGTATATCAACATGGCTTCCCTTTCACTTTTTTGGTACAACACAATGGCTACTGTGATTTCATCTGAAAATTCTCACTTTCTTAGCATTCAATTTGCCTGATCTAGATGCGTCTTTCTTATTAAATATGAAGGGTATTTTTGACTGAACCACTTTTGACAGCCAGTTTTAACTGATCAAAAGCAAGCCAAGAAAGTGAAAGTAGAGGATGTGACTCACCAATAATGTCCCTTACATTCGCCCATCCTCTCTTTGGTATTGTAATTGAGTTCCGATAGTTGGCTGTTACCTACAAAACATTCAGAAACTTATAGTTTCCTCACCATGAAACATTGATAAGTCACTTTTTCAGCTTTGTTTCCTTTTCCTTTGTTTTAATGTCAATTCACTCTTCGCAGTGCATAGTAAACCTTGACCTTCTTTAACTGAATACCAATAGAACTTTTGAAGAAAATGCGGCTGGGCTGGGTCAATCACGAGAAATAGTGAAGTGAAATGCAAGGGTGAGGTAAAATACTTCATTGAACATGATGCAAACGGTACATTTTTTTAAGTGGAATAAATGTACAATTCCCAAAATTGCTTTCTGAGGTTGGCCTTCTTGACATCCTTTGAATTCGCAAGTGTTGAGTTGACAATGAAAAGAAATCCCCCAAATTAAGATCAATTCAGAATGAGCAACAAAGCTTGAAAACATGTTTCAAGGTCCAAAAAAAAAGAGAGCCCAACCCAAAGAAATAGGGATGAATAAAAATTTCCATCTCAGTAAAAGAAAAAAAAGGTACTGGTTCATTACAGCCAGAACTTATCTCAGTTTCATGAGCATAACCCTTTAACCTGTGAGGGTGAATAGCATCTAATTTCTCACTCACCAGAGACCACAGACCAACCAGTGCTCAACCGCAGACCTATCAAGTGCAAGTGTGTTGAACTTACCAGAGGGCAAGCGACTCTTATTAAGTAAGATGCCTGCTTATTGAACAGATAATCTGTGCTTGAAAAACTCACCTCAGAAATCCTCAAGTACACTCCTCTTGGGTTGCTACCAACATCAAAATAGAAGCGTTTTTGCTCCACACGCTGCTCACGAGAGGCAGGTAGATCGCTGGATACTTCCTCTGAAAGAAAAAGCAAAGTGAAAAAATCAACAGGCTTTGCCAACAAGTGGGAATTTTCAGGACAGAATTCTTATGACCTGCTTACATATGGTAATTCTCCCTTGAAGCTAGGGACATTTCCTTGGGAAAAACATCAGAGAAATTCCATAGGGTGCACCTTAAGTTGAGAAGTTGATCTAATCACATGATCTGTTTAATGGTGATAATCT